TGGTCTCAAACTCCTGACCTTGTGATCCGCCTGCCTCGGCCTCCTAAAGTTCTGGGATTACAGGCATGAGCCACTGTGCCCGGCTGATTTTTACTCTTCTCACTGCCTTTAAGGGTTTATGTGATTACAATGAGCATACCTGGATAATCCAGGATAATCTCCCTATTTTAAAATTAGTTGATTAGAAACCTTAATTACATCTGCAACATGCCCCTGAAGCAGTACCTAGATTCGTGCTTGATTGAATAACCATGGTCTTTCAGAGATAATTTAGAATTCTGCTACTATTTAGATATAATGGGGGCATGGCCTTGTGCCATCTGTGCATAACAGGTTGTTAAACCAATTCTTCTGCTATCTTCAGAGTATCAACAGAGGCCTCAAAAATGAGAACAAAATAGTAGGTACCAAGTGCCCCAACATGATTTGTTGGAGGCATGTTAGACTGTGACGAGATGGATTTAGTCAGCATTAGTTCATCTCCCATTCCAGGATGATGAGCCATGAATTTGCTGGTAGTGAGGCCTGTTTGAGACGGTGTTGTCAGCATGCTTTGTAGGCTGTTTACCAGCATGCCCAATAATGAACGAAGCGCACTTCCTTCTACCTGAAGCTGAGGGAATGTGGTTTCAAGAAAGCCATTCAGAGAGCTTGATACTCATTCTCTAGAATTTGAGGAAAGCAGAAACAGATATCTGACGCAGGCCTGAAGAGACAAGGATGTGAGGCTTCCCTGGCCTAGTGAAGGGGAAAAGTGCCACAGCTATGGACTAAAGGAACAGTCCACTCCAGAGTTTGGTGAAGCAATGAAAGATGCTCTGGTTTTCCCTAGAGCTGGTGGTGGACCTAAAGGAGAGAACCAGTCTTAGGTCTTTTTAAATGAGTCTGTGCCCCAAATCACCTTCTAAAAGGGATGAGAAGGCCCAGCAGAGGAAGCAGGTGATTGAGGGTAAAAAGTATCAGCAGCCAGCCAGAGGGTGGAATATAGAGAAGACAGTCTCCAGAGAACCCCTAAACAGCCCACAAATAATTAGAATTTGGAAACTGCTACATTCAGAAAGCACCAATACCAGATCACAGCCATATGAGCTAAAGGGGAGAAAAAAATATCTTTCTCTCCCTTCTTAGGTTTGTGGCTGAGGCCCTTATAACAAAAGACAGATTAACAGGAGAAAAACATACAAATTACGTTTTATATGACACCATGGCCTTCATAAGGAAATGAAGACCTAAAGAAACAGGTCATAAAAACTGAGTGTTTTTATGCTAAGTTAGATGAGGAGTGGAGAGTCATGTAGCAATATGATGGGGCAAAAAAGGGTGTGAGGTAAGGGTAATAAATGGGAAACTTAGCAAGGCCTTTGTCTTTAGTTTCTTCCCAGTATCCCTCTGTCTTCAGAGATTAGGATGTTCCTCTCTTCCCAGGTATAGTGAGGACACCTCTCACATGAGGGTCTTATAACTTACTTTAGGGAAAGGTCAGAAAATCCTTCCTGGGTTTTATGACCTGCTTCAGGGAAGAAGGGTGGGGGAAGGTCAGAGTGACTTTCTTATTTTTGTTGTTTTCTCAAATTCCTTCATCTTTAAATATTCAGTATGCCAAGGTGCCACATTTTGGGGCAGTGTGTTCTGAGCCCCATGGCAGCCGAGCGAGATCATTTTATACCTTATCTACCTAATGCTCCCCTGCCTCTGCCAGCCCTGTGGAGGTGGTGAAAGTATAAGGAGAATAAGCACACTATGCCAACAGGAGCTGGAGGATGGGAAAAAGTACATTAGGGGAGAGTCTGCAATGTTGTGATTATGACATGAGGCTGGCCTGGACTAGAAGAACTATGGTAACTCCCTAAGGTTTCATTTAGGGGCAGCAAAAGAGCTCTTCAAGAGCACAATGATGAAGAATAAAAGCACTTTTGCACCCTCTTAAATCTAGCTTGTTTGATAAAATCGTTACATGTTATTTATTATACGTGTCATTATCATCATTTTCATTGTGATAAAATTCTCTCTCAGATTTCTCTTTGCCTATTTAAATAGCATCAGTTCATTTCATTGCATGTTTTAATTGTCTTTGAGCATCTCCTGAAAATCATTTCTCTGTGGTATCAGGCAAGAGCCAAAATAGTTCCACACCCTTGGGCTCTAGTTTTTAAATATGTAGACTAAGAAAAGGAGAACAAAATGACTGCTATGGATATTTCCATCTAAGCCATTAGAAAACGAATTATAGTTTTGTTATTGAGAAAAAGGGGCTCACTGCCCCATGCACTAGAAGCCAATGCTATGACACAGGGTTTTTGAGAAAAGAAAAGCTTTATATTGCAAGTTGACTCACAAGAAGAGTGTCAAGCTCAAATATGTCTCTCCATGCTGGCTTCAAAGCAGTGTTTTCAGTGGAAAGTTTCAGGGAGTGGATTCTGAGACTAATAGGTGATTGGTAGAAGGAAAGGGAGGTCCGGAAGGCCCTTGGACACATGCAGTCATCTCTTCATGCTATCTCATGGGTCGCATGTGCAATTGTGAGGAGAATTAGTATAAAATAAATGGTGGAATTTCAAGTTGCGACATCAGCAAGCTGATTCTGCACAGACTCCAGTCAGCCATATTGGTTCCAATCGATTTCAGCCAGTACTTTCATCTCATAAGCAGAGGGAATTTCGGTGTTTCAGCAAGTTGTTTATTTTTTATCTGCTATCCTGCAAACTCAAGAATTTCTGTTAGTCATTGGTTTCTTTAACTCTTTAGGGAAGGCTTTCCATTTTCTCCAAGGTCTCTTTGCCTTATTGAATAGTTTGGGTTGTCTGTTTAGTTAGGTTTGAAACTGATAAAGCAACGAACAGTTCTCCCTTCACAGGGCACCTGGTTTTGTGTAGATACAACTCAGGGAATTGTCTCCACACTTCATCTGCCATGATTACCTTTGAGCACCTCCTCCTGAAACCCATCTTCACATTACCTTTTACCAGGCTAGCCCTACTTTTCTCCATCTGCTAAGAAGTGTAGCTCTACTACTAAGAAGTGTAGCTCTACTACTGAAGCCATCCACTCCCATCTCACTCTCATCCCCAGTGCTAAAGGGCTCTCTAAGAGAGAATGTCAGCACAGTTTTGACAGAAACACTCTAACACTGCTGGATATTCCAGAAACATCAATTCTGGGCAAAAGAACACTGGCATCAAAGTAAAGCTTGATTTATACACCATAGCAATTTTTGATAGCTATAAACCTGACACGCAAATATAATCTTTTATGGCATAACAGTACGTTTAAATTAAAATGCTTTTTAATAGAATATATAATTTAGAAATATAAAAGTGCTTCTTAGTTGCCGAAAAATGAGATTTTAAAGTACTTAGATGTATCAAGAATATAAAATGCAAGTGTTTAGATGAATTATGATGTGAAAACTAATACTTCATTTAAATGTCAATAATTACATAAAGAATAATGGTAGTGGCCAGGCATGGTGGCTCATGCCTGTAATCCCAGCACTTTGAGAGGCTAAGGCAGGCAGATCATGAGATCAGAAGATTGAGACCATCCTGGCCAACATGGTGAAACCCTGCCTCTACGAAAATACAAAAAATTAGCCAGGCATGGTGGTGCGCACCTGTAGTCTCAGCTACTTGGGAGGCTGAGGCAGCGGAATCATTTGAACCTGGGAAGCAGAGATTGCAGTGAACTGAGATCACACCACTGCACTCCAGCCTGGCAACAGGGCGAGACTCCGTTTCAAAAAACTAAATAAATAACAGTAGTATTAAGACAAAACTCCATATACTGTGCATAAAGCCTGTCCTATGAGTTTAAAGTTATATCTTATATAGGCACATTATCACCTTGTATATTTAATGCTATCATTACACATGGCGTGAGATCATGTAGGTGTGCGTCACAGAGATTTGGGATGGCTGTCACTTCTTCATATACTTCCTCACCCATCATTGTACAAGACATTGCCATGAACAGACCTCTTGATGTGACTCAGCAGAGCATGCTTGTTCTAATTTGTTAATCACCTTACCAGCAACCTGCGTCTGTCTGCCTGTTTCACCTGACTAGATCAGCAGCTTAAGGTTCAAATCTGTGAAGTCTTTCACAGCATCTGTCTCATCAAACTTCCCCACCGCAAACTTTTGAGTCACCATCAAGTTCAGAGTGAGTGAGCCAACAAAATTACAAGACCATGGACCTGTGGTCCATCCGGGCCACTGGACATTAATGATGGCTTTACGTGATACTGTGGAATGATTGCATTCAAATAATGTCAATATCTAATGAAGTCATGTTGTGCTACAAAGCAAGATTGGGACAATAATTTTAATAAATGTCTCAAAAGAGGAGCATAGGGAGCCATGGAAGTGTGTGACACAGAAACTCAACCTAGTTTAGGGGTCTCAACAGCTTCTCTGAGGACAGGCCATGCAATCTCAGACCTAGAGGATGAAGGAGTTACGCAGGTGAAGGAAAAGAACATGTTAAGCTTCTGAAGTAAGAAGAAAAATGGAATGAGGAACTAATAAACTAGTAGGGCTGAAGAGAGGGAGAAAGAGTATTGCTCTAAAGCAAGAGAGGAACAGATGCGGCAGCTGACACCTGGGGAGCAGCAAGAGTAAAAGGAAAGAGAGAGTGTCGAGGCCATTGTAATAATTGGGGCACAAATGATGTTGGCATGAACTAGGATGGTGGCAGGAAAAAAGAGAAGTGGACGTTGAGAAGTACACATAGCACTGTTTGACGATCAACTGCATACGGTAGGTGAGGAAGAGGCGTTCGTTTCCTACATTATTGAGGAAATAATGTATATGGTGGTCCATTTCTAAGACAGAGTGCTTCACATAGGCTTGGGCCTGCAAACTGTGGAAAAAACAGGATACACTATGCCCCTGCCCTGGTGCCTGTTTGTCACGGCCCCCTTAGTTACCCTCACAGGAGTTTACTCTAAACCACACGAGTTACCCTAAACCAACGAGTTTCGTCTAGAATGAAAGTGTACTAACCAGCAAAACAGCTCGCTTTATCTGTTCTTATCAGCCTCCCTGACTTCCTGCGTCATAAGTCAAGTACTTGTACAGCCCCAGAGCGGACCACCATTGCAGTGCATTATGGGCTGCAACAAAATGCAGCGAGACAACTCTTAAAAAAAAAAAAAAAAAAAAAAACACCTAAAAGCCCCAGCCCAACAACCAATAGGCGACGTCCGGGATGATTGTAACTCCATAGTACTCAGCCTATGAGGAACCAGGGAAGGGACCTGCGCACTAGGGGATAAATCGCTTGTTGTAACCATACCGGGTGTGCCTGCCCATCAGTCACCTGATCTTGCAAGACTGTCATTAAACATCTCTGCTGTTCTCTATGTCTCTAAGTCCATTCCTTGGGTTTAGATGGGTGAGCGTGCTTCTCACATTTCTAACCTACACGCTTGGGTGGAGGGCAGCACCTTTTACTGCACTAGTGGTCATTAGGAGAAAATAGAGTTGCTGGGGATGGGGGAGGAGATGAGTTTTAGGTTTAGTCGAATTGATGTTCCTGTGAAGTATCCAGGCAGTGATGTTGCGTAAAGCACTGGCTTGGGGCTCAGATGAAAGATCTGGAGTGGGAATGTCAATTTTAAGGTAATGAACTTAAAGATTTTTATGGGAAGCCATCAGGAGAGCTGAGGTTCCCTAGTGAGACCATACAGAAATAAATACTTTTTTAAAAATAAAGGAGGTCTCTGGCCAAGCCTTAAGGGGCTCCGGAGCTTAAAAGTTGAGTAGAGGCCGGGCGCGGTGGCTCACGCCTGTAATCCCAGCACTTTGGGAGGCCGAGGCGGGTGGATCATGAGGTCAACAGATCAAGACCATCCTGGTCAACATGGTGAACCCCGTCTCTACTAAAAATACAAAAAATTAGCTGGGCACGGTGGCGCGTGCCTGTAATCCCAGCTACTCAGGAGGCTGAGGCAGGAGAATTGCCTGAACCCAGGAGGCGGAGGTTGCGGTGAGCCGAGATCGTGCCATTGCACTCCAGCCTGGGTAACAAGAGCGAAACTCCATCTCAAAAAAAAAAAAAAAAATAAATAAGTTGAGTAGAAGATCGCATGTTAGAAAAACTAAAAATAGTTTTGAAGGATGACTAGTATGGTACTGTATCCCAAAAGCAAAGGAGATGTGGAGTAGCAAACAAAAGGAAGTCATCAGAGTAATCTAATAAGTCAGCCCTGGGCGGTGGCTCACACCAGTAATTCCAGCACTCTGGGAGGCTGAGGTGGGTGGATCATTTGAGCTCAGAAGTTCGAGACCACATAGCAAATCCCTCGTCTCTACTGAAAGTCCAAAAAAACATTAGCCAGGTGGCGCCTGCCTGTAATCCTAGCTACTGAGGAGGCTGAGGCAGGAACATCGCTCGAACCCGGGAGGCGAAGCTTTCAGTGAGCTGAGATCGTGCCATTGCACTCCAGCCTGGGCAACAGAGTGAGACTCAGTCTCAAAAAACAATAATAATAATAACAAAGAAAAAAAATAGTAGAATAAGTCAAATAAAATAATGACTAAAAACTTCTTTGTGATTTAGGGACATGGAGATCCTTGGTGACCTTAGCCAGAGAGAGCATTTAGACAGTAAATGGCGTAAGAGTGCCTGAGGGCTGAGAAGTTCCGAGTGTAGACAACTCTTCTGAGTGGTGTGACTGACTGTCCAGTGTTGCCCGAGACAGTGCTAGTTTGGCACGTTGTCCTGCAGAAACAACTCCCTCTTCCAGTCTGCAGTGCTGGTTCAAAGGATAAATGATGCATCATCTGTATGAAGGGCGAGGAAAGGGAGGCAGCTGGAGGAGAAATTGGAATGGTATAAAAACCCTGAGCACTCTGATACAACAGCGTGGGGGCAGGAAGCTGTGAGTGAACCCACATTTGAAGGCAGAGAGCCCTAAGTACAATTTTTAGTTCTACCATTTATTGGCTGTGGGATGTTGAGCAGGTTTATTTAAGCTCTCTGAGTCTAACAGGACTTAAATGTCAGGGTAGAGTGAGGATTTTGTGTAAAGTGCTGACATATAATGCTCAGCAAATATGAGTTGCCTTCTTTTTGTTCCCTCTGTCTTGTTCTTTGGCCCATGTTGTAACGGTTCTGCATCATCTCCTTCCCCGCCACTCCTCCCCACCACTCCCCTCTTCACCCTAAAGTATCTCACACCCTTTGTGACAGAGGAAGTTCTTATTTCTGTGTTTCTAATGAAGCACTCTGTGTGTGTCAACATGTCTCTCTCTTGAAAAGACTTGGTAACCTTGCCTCTCTGCTCCATTCTCCTAGCTGGGAAAATGTAGTGATGCCCAACTCATTCATGTCAGTACATTTCAGCTAGCGTTGACTGTTGCCTGCACCCCATGCTGGAAATGCTGAGAGATGCCATAGAAGTGTATGATATGATTCTTTTTGTCAAGAGCAGTGTCTTTCAGAAAGACGACATACTCTTCATAACATTCTTCCTGCTACTGTTCCCACTACGTTTGCAGCTCTCCACCACTTATGGAGCACCTTAGATCCCCTGGCCTAGGCCGCTATCATTTGTGACTGAAAAGGTTTTGGCTCGTGCAAGGTATTGTTATAATGATTCCATCTTACAAATGAGGAAAACCGAAGTTCGAAGAGGTTAGGCAACCTGCTCAGAAATGCAGCAGCTCCTACGTGTCTAAACTGGAGTCTGAATCTTGATCCATCTGACACTGGAGTCCTGAACCTTTCCATTTCTCAATGGAACAAAAAACAAATGAAATGTCGTCTCAACACTTTACAATTTAGACAATATGCCATTTATGTAGATTGTTTACAACTGTGAATTAGAAAACAAAACAAAATCAGTTTATCAAAGGGTAGAACTGACTCTGACCCTGGGTCCAGATAAATGGTGCACTGTTAGTAAGGTCGAATGTGCACTCACTGAGCTGACACTGAGGGCTAGGAGTCCTTGCACCGCCTAGCCGGATTCTGGTCAGGACATTTTTTTTTTTTTTTTGAGATGGAGTTTTGCTCTTGTTACCCAGACTGGAGTTCAATGGCACGATCTCAGCTCACCGCAACCTCCACCTCCTGGATTCAGGCAATTCTCCTGCCTCAGCCTCCTGAGTAGCTGGGATTACAGGCACACACCACCATGCCCAGCTAATTTTTTGTGTTTTTAGTAGAGACGGGGTTTCACCATGTTGACCAGAATGGTCTCGATCTCTTGACCTCGTGATCCACCTGCCTCGGCCTCCCAAAGTGCTGGGATTACAGGCTTGAGCCACCACGCCCGGCCGGTCAGGACATTCTATGCAGGTGATTGTCTAAGATAGGCAATATGTTCTACAACTTACTAAACCAGAAATGCTCCCCAAGGAATTGGATTATAGATTTCCAGAGTCTCTTCTCTCCTCAGCATTGTCTGTTTAAAGCAAATTTTCGCTTAAATGCCTTTGAAGTCAAACTGGACAGACTCAGTCCTACTGTATTCTGATAGCTCTGTGCTTCCTCTACATGAACTCAGGTTTATAAGCACAAACAGGTGCTCTGGGATCGAAATGACAAGCTCACCATAGTTGCCCACATTATGCGTTTTTAGTTCCTGTCTCTGGCACTGAAATGGCACAGCCTTTAGCATGATTTAAAGTGCCTGCTTGGAACCTCGCTGAATAATGTCTGACTTTCAACACCGCTGAAAGGATACTTAAAGCATAGACCCGGCAGCTGTGTCATCTTCCGCAAATCAAGGTTGATTAATGACAAGATCGCCTCACCCCAGCATCCTGCCTTTCATCTGAGCAAGACTGAAGCTATTCCTGGAAAAAATCCAGCTTTCTTTTGCTGCAGTGCTGAGGCATGCCGACCCAGCAGGGGCAGGAAGGAAGGTCAAAGTCAGCATTTGCATTTGGGCTGTAGAGAGGGAGGAGACAGGGTTGCAATTGGTCCTTGAAAAACCCAGTGTGAAGGTTCTGTATGGTCAGGGCCCAGGGCTGACTTCAAGGGTGGGGCCACCATCATGCTTTCTCCATCCAGCCAAGCTGGCACCATTTTTATGGGCGAGTCTTCCTTCTGGAAATGGTTGATCTCATTAGTGGGTGTGGTTTCAGGCACTTTTCCCGCCTTTCTTCTGAAAACAAGTAGGCTATTCTTCTACATGAGAGTTCAATCTCTACTCCATGGAAACTTGCCATGGATCTAAGGACTTTTGAAAATGCGGAGTTTAGACTACGGGAATGTTTGTAAAGGAATTATTTTCCTTCACACTTTACATTAAGGGCAAAATATTCTGTCACTACTTTCTCCTTTCACCTCACTGTGTCTTACAGCACTGATGCCTACCTAAGAGTGTGCTAGAAAGTGGTAAAACCCGGCCGGGCGCGGTGGCTCATGCCTGTAATCCCAGCACTTTGGGAGGCCGAGGTGGGTGGATCACGAGGTCAACAGATCAAAACCATCCTGGTCAACATGGTGAAACCCCGTCTCTACTAAAAATACAAAAATTAGCTGGGCATGGTGGTGTGTGCCTGTAATCCCAGCTACTCAGGAGGCTGAGGCAGGAGAATTGCCTGAACCCAGGAGGCGGAGGTTGCGGTGAGCCGAGATCGCGCCATTGCACTCCAGCCTGGGTAACAAGAGCGAAACTCCGTCTCAAAAAAAAAAAAGAAAAAAGAAAGTAGTAAAACCCACGTGAAGAAGATGCTTTGTGTTATACCTGACATATATTGGGCTCACTTGTATTGCAGTGCTTTCAACTAAATGTTTTCCTTCATGGCTCTTATCATATTTCTATACATCTGGCCATTGTGTACTTTTAAATATTTTTCTGCCACACCAATCTGTAAGCTCCTGTGCCAGCAGGGTCTGTACCTGTCAAGGTCACACTGTATAGCTTTAACAGTAATTGTGGTTTCTGGCATGTGGTAGGTACCTGCATTTCATATGTATATATGCAAACTCCATCCTTCAACCCCCAACCCCTCCACACTCTCAAAACTTTACAACTTGGTTAAGATTATGAAAAAATATTTATTTATTTATTTTTACAAGATGAAATTTATTTTAAGTGTCCTTTTTTAATGGTTCTTCTAAATATGTCATGAAAT